GTGGGAGCTTGTACTTTCTAAACAGATTACAAAGATTATTGCTTCGGCTGTACGCCAAATTTCTCAGCATCATCCTTTCAAACTACTTAAGTATTCGAACAGCCTGCTCCGGTGAAGAAGCATAAATTTTAGGTTAGAATAGGGTTTTTTTTTATTTTTTTTTATGAGTGATATGTTCAAACTCTACAAAAATATTTTTAATTAACATACGTATATAATTTTAATATATTCATAAAAAAAACAAGTTAAGTATTCGTAGGTGGCTCGGCTAAAACGCACCACTCCTCCAATTCTCCCATAAATTAATCCCGCCAAAATATCCCTCCCCGTCCCTTCCCAGAGCTCCAAAACGGCCTTCTTCTCCAAAACTCTGCAGAGCCTCTTCGAGCACTAAGGCCACCTTTCTCCTCCGCCAAGAGCACTGTATGAGTAATGTGCCCGAGAGCAACGTCTACTGCGGGGCCAAACCCCAGAGCCCCAATCAGAGATTTACTTCAATTGAAAATCTTAAAACTCCTGGAGAAATTTGACCTTTATGACTGCCAATTTTATGAATCAATTCTTAGATCTCTTGCAAATCTTATAATAATATTATTACTCTCAATAAATTAAAAAATTAATTATTAAATATATAAAATTAATATTTTAAATAATATAATTTATATTATATTATTAATATTAAAATCTTGATTCATCTATTATTATTTTAAAAATTTATCTAATTTATATTTTGAAAATATATATTAAACGTATATTAAATATAATTTTTTTTATAAATTTATATTAAAAAATAAAAATTAATATTTAATTTATTAATTATTAAATTAAATTTATTGAATATTAAAATTTATATTAATTTGATATTTTTTATGTGTATTTATAAAAAAATAATAAATATATCATTATTTTATATTTTTAAAATACAAAATAAAAAAACTGTTATTTTAAATTTTTATTAATTAACAAACCTTGATTTTTAAGTAATTAATAAGTTAACTTTAGATTATTTTTTTAAAAATAAATTTACAAAGATCGAATTTAAACCGTTATTTAAAAAAAAAAAATACACGCCACTGAATCAAAGGTACAAATACTAACTTCCAAATACTAACTTTAGGTTATTTTAGTCTCGCCAAATACTAAAATCATGATTCATCCAAAAAAAGTGACCCATTGTTCTCCTCACGAACACCATACATTTCACACGGGATGCTTTCGAAATGTGAAAGTCGTAAGTGCTTGCTTTGTGCACCACAATTTTTTCAAAGTTGGCGGCACCGAGATTGTTGTCAATATTTATAGCTTGTGTCAGGTCAATTTATTGGTCATTTTCTACATGTCTTCACTATTGTCAATATTTATTAGATGTGTCACGTCAGCACATTGGCCTTTTTCTATATGTCTACATTGATTTTAACGAAACTTCCAGGGGGAGGTCAATCGATTAATTAATGAATCAAGTTACGTAGTACTCAAAGTCTTTTGGGAAAGCTAAAATAGTTTGTTTTGACCGACAATGTTAATACTTGCAATATCACACACCGAGGGCCAAAAAAATATGTGAGACTTAATTTTTTTAATATAATATATATTGAATATTTTATTTAGATAAAATAATTTTATTTATTTATTATATAAAATTATCAAATTAAACTCCATTTTGTATTATTTTGATTTTTAATTTTGATTTTTTATATATTTAATAACTAATATTATATTTAAATTAAATTTAATAAATTCAAAATTTTATGATAAACTAGTCATAAAGTTTTGGAACCTCAAAGCATATCAAGCAATTTAAGTTTGAAAAGTTTCCGAACTATTAACAAATGAGTAAAGGTGCAAATAAGGATTCCAATTTTACATTTTTTTCTATTTAAAGATGTTAACTTTGTCAGTTTTTAAATAAAAATGTCAACTTTTAATTTTTTTCTAAATAAGGATGTTAACTTTCAATTTTTTTCTAAATAAAAATGTTAACTTTGTTAGTTTTTAAATAAGGATATCAACTTTCAACATTTTCTATTTAAGAATGTCAACTTTCAACTTTCAACTTTTTCTATTTAAGAATGTCAACTTTCAACTTTTTCTATTTAAGAATGTCAACTTTCAACTTTTTCTATTTAATGATTAGTTGAATAGTGATGCTGACGTGGCTAACATAATTTTTTAGGTTAAATATTTGAATTAGTCCCTCAACTTTTATTTTTGAACCAATTCATCCTTAAACTTCAAAAAGTGCCAAAAACGTCCTTCAACTTCAATTTTCAATTCGTCTTTCCGTCATTTAAATGTTGATGTAGCTAATTTTTTTGCTAAGTGATTGACTATTTTACATTTTCAATATTAGGTGAAAAATCCATCATGTAAAAGATGATTATGCGGATTTTTTAAATTTTAAATAATTTACAAACTATTTTAATTCTTAATTTTAATTTATTTATATTTAAAAATTAAAACAATTAATATATTTTCCCATTTAATTAGTCCCACCTACCATTTAATAAA